TAATGTCAGTTAAAGCTTTTGGAGTACAAAGTGTAAATTAATATGTGCATTTAAAAAGATGGATAAAACTGATAAAAGTTAGAATGCAGAGTCTAAATTCAAGTTTATGGCATCTGTTTTGCAACAAACTCAAGCTGCTCTATAACACAGTTGGTAGATTCTGTTCCTCCATGTGATGTCCCAATTTGCTCAACTTTACAACTTAAATAACAAACAATAAATGCCACATGTTTAGATCACCTGCTGCTCCCTACTTGCTTGCTTAATGCCCCACCATCGTTATTTACTGTACATTTCAATCCCTGAGAAAGGAACTGTTTCTCTCAAGGGTCTCCACAAATAAGCACTTGCAAGAATAGCATATTGAGGCAGCCTGTAATTTGTCATAGACGAGCCGTGGTTTGGGTCTATCTAGTGAAAGATCGAATGTGCTGAGAATAGGGTCAACACTCGTGCTGGTTTACGAGGGTCCAGCGCAGGCAGGAAGGGGAAACAGACGGTTTTGGGAGATACGTGACGTCATGGATACGGTGAGGAAGTGCATCGCCGTGGAGACAAATCGGTGCAGTGGGTCTGAGCATTAATGTAGGACAGGAAGCTCGATTTGTGGGCAGCATTGTGAATGGAAGGTGGGGTCTGTATGTCGGTCAGTAGATCAGAGGCAGGCTGACCTTCAGAAATCTGCTTTGATGCATTTGAAGAATGTGGTGAGAAACAGGAATTGCAAGAAAGTTATTTTTCATAAGAAGTGATCATTTAACACTTGTTGGGTTGTGCGTGTAATTATAGATACAAATGAAATGAGGCAGATGGGTGTGTAATAATACTGCTTGATTTATAGCCAGGGTTGAGACCAAGATACTGTAGGCTCAATCAAGAGACAACAATCAAGAGGCTGAGTAAAAGAGTTCAGACTCATTTTGATTACGATCTTATCTTGCTGTCTCCATGGGGATATGTATGGCAGTAATATTTATGAAACAAGAATATTCTCTGCTACATTCTTCATTGAGAAAAGTGTATTCTTAAAGACAATGGGTTTGGTTCTCTACACATACGGTCAGTAACTTGAACTAATGGTACCACCTGCAAACAGTGGAACATTCCAGACACCAGCAATGTCACATTTCAAAGAACAACCCTTTTACCAGTCTGCAACTTTACGCATTCATGGAAGACATCCAATTATTGTTGTATGTAAGCCAGGTGGATCTATTTGTGCATCTGAAAGTATTGGCTAAAAACACTATTTTTCAGTTTTAAAATATTTTTACTGATAAACCAATGGGAAGAAAATGTATTCTTTATTTATTTATTTTTATGATGATCATGAAAATGCAAAACATATTACCCCTGTGTGGAGTTGACTCAATATTATGATGTGAACTATGTATTGCCCTTCAAGGTAATTGTTTCCTAAAACTAATAATACATAATTAGCTGATTAGTGTGAACCCAACTTAACTAAGCTCCTCTTTATGTTGACATAAGCACAGTTGTAGCCTGGTGCCACCCCACTTCAGACTGTTAATATCTGTCCACTGATCCGATACAGTGTCCGTTGAGTCATTCTGATCCGGGCCTGGGCTTGTTTTCTGTCGGGGAGATCAGCCCCGTCACACTTGGGAAATGCCTGGAATCCAGAGGAGAGTGGAGGAGGCCAATGTCATCATTATGAGAGTGGGCATCATGGGCACTTCCTGCTACACCGTGAATTGCAATAAAATAAACCACAAGCACATCTGTTGCACTGGTTTACCTCATCCTTTGTTAGTGCACAAAGAAAACAAGCTTTTGTGGGAAACGGGAAAGCAATATGCCGGCATGTTCTGCTTTACAGGCTTTTATGTGGAGGTATTAAAGAAGGCATATCATGCATTATTTTTAAAAAGGCTAATGATGACTATATACTTTGTCATTTCATGTTTTTTAATATGAAATAATCTCTTGAGTACATATATTGCATTGCTTTCTGCCTCATATCTCGCTATACTATCACCAGAGGGAGGAGTTGGATTGGTTTAGTTTGTGATAGTAAAGAATGTAATTCCACCAGAGAATTTATTAAAGCAAATGTATGGTTAATACTTTTGTTTTAACAGACAGAAAACTGCTCTGAGTGTGATGCTATAGTGGTACAATTATGTCATACTTATCCAGGACTGAGACAGGAGCTTTCAAACTGATGGAGCGTCATTGCAGGTTTGTACCAGCAGTCTTGAATATTAGCCTGGATGGATCTGAACACAGCTCCCAGTCTGTTTTTGATGAGGGAGTTTCAAAACTCAAACACGTAAAATCTGCATAAAATCTGCATAAAATCTGCATAAATCTGCGTCTCCTTTAAAACAAATATGGCTTGGACATTCTTGGACACTCTTTAACCTACAGACCCTGTTAATGTACAGCTAATCACCAGATAAGGTTTTTCATTTTCAACAAAAGACATGGATTAAGTGGATTAATTAATGTCACGCATTATGAACAGAAAGATCAGTAACATTTATGTGCTCTCTTACATATTACCCTTTGAATGTAATTAACCATTTTCCATGAGAGAAAAGTCACGATTATTCAATACAGTGAGGGTAGGATTCATTTTCTCCCAGTTATGGTGATTGAACCATATATTGCAGAGGACAGGCAGAAACCTCCACGTACTTTTGCGTTTAGAACACACACATGCTGGATGTGAGTTCACAGCACGACTCCTGGGTCCAGAGGTCATGTTTAGTCACAGTTTGGAGCAGAGTGTGAAACCGTGACGGGAGAAAAGCAGGATGCGTCTGTGGCTTTTGTGTGAAAACTGCAAGACTGTGGAAAATGCTTCTGTGCGCTGCTGGCTTATTGATTATTTTGAGTTGAGCACAAGGAGGTGTTGAAGTGCTGGATGGTTGATCTGGAATGATCGGAACTCGATTTACTTAAGAGTAAATTGAATAATGGAGTGGCAAATGGGGGGGAAAAACTTAATTATGACAAATATAAATTAAGAGTTTTGTCCAAGTTTGATCTGGCTTAAATATTTATTTATTATTAATAAATGTATTATAAATAATATTAATTAATATATATTCATTTTTCTGTAATTTTCTTAGCAAAAAAGGCGATTTTGCATACATATATTGACAAGTTTAAAGACTGAAGAGCTTTAGGCTAAATTTTGCAGTTCAGTTTTCATTTCATCTAAACCCTATTAATATCTTCCAATAAAGAAGAATAAAATGTTCTAATTTTTATTCATAGTTTGTTGTGTAAGGAACCTTTGACACATAAATTGACTTAACAACTAAAGATTGAAAGCCTTAAAGATCACTGTGTTTCTTGTTAAACACAGACACAGCTTTTAAATTTCAGTACAAGGCACTTTTTTATTTTATTATTGTTATCACTGCACTCAAAGGTTTCAAGGACAATCTTAAAACAGCCTGTTGGATAGCTGACGATGCTCAGCCAGCATTAAAACACATCTGGCTCCTTTGCTTACTCCTTATAAATGTTATCTGAGATTGCTACAGTTGCACCTCCGGCTCAGTGTGGCCTGAAGCCTCCAGCTGTGTGCTCTGTTGTGCGACCTGTTGTGTAATTGTGTATGTGTCTTGGGGATTGTGTGGGTTGAGTCAAAGCAGTGGGACTGAAGGCAGCGTGCCGGTTCATGCTGGGACCCGTGCGTCTGCCTTTAGGCCACTAGTCGCCCACGTGTAAAACAGAGGAGTCTAGACTTGTATACTCACCGATTTCTCACCAGGGCTTGACATTATTTTCTTAAGAGACAGCAAAACAAAGATGTGTTTTGAAACAAGAAGCTTACTGTGCTTATTTTCTGACATTTTGTCTTGAAATGTTGCAGACCTTTATACCTTTATAAGCAAACATGTCATAACCATGCAATGTATCATGTTAAACTCAATATTTTCCTTCTCTCTCCACCAAAGTGTCTGTCCTCATGATGGATCTGTAAAACAGCATGCATATTTGTTTTCTTCTAATTCTTTTGGATAGGCTGAGGTGCCTCTGACCCACGATGCATAAGCACAAATCATTTTGAACTTGTATGTATTCATTTATTTGAATGGGACAGCGCATGATAATGAACTTGACATGAAATAAGCCTACATGTAATTTTGTGGCCAAAACTGTTTAGCCACAGGCTAATTTCTATAGTCCCAGAGGTTGGTGTCACAAGAAGTTTTAAATAATCAGATAAACATTTCAACATTACAACAGCATACTGTAGGTCAACTTCCTCATCATACATCATATCAAACATCCCACTATTGCACAAATCCAGTTTTATCCGGTTATGACAATCAACCACTATTGCACATGAGTCATCATTACACACAATCTACTATTGCACACGACCCATTACTGCACAGTCCCCATTGTCTTATGAGTGCAAGTAATGCAGGTATTAACTGTATAAACAGATAAGCAATTACAAAAAAAGAAAAACCGTCTGATTAGAATTGTAAGTGTTTAAAAACCAGGGCTTAAAGCTGCACTAACTGACTTTATTTTTGTATTCATTACGAAAATGCTATCCATGTCCGTGTAGGGCATTGGGATATACGTCCTTTTGACGAAAAAGTAGCCACTGGGTTCAGAGCTGTGATAGCAGAGGCTTTTATGCGCAGCTCCGGTCCAGAACGCCAATATAAAGAATGTGAGTTTGGTATTAGTGAACCTGCGTGTGTTTACATAGCAAGCCTTTCCCAGGTGCTACATGGTCTGAAGGATTAAAGGAGCCGGGGGGATAGGCACACAGAGGCGCTCACGAGTAGATCTGCCCCCAATGAAAAAAAAAAAAAAAAGTGGGAGAGGAGGTGGTTGGAGATAACAGATCAGAGGGAGGAAGGGAGCAGGCTGTGTGAACTGTGCAGCTGCCCGGATAGTATTGTAGTTCACTCGAGAGCCAAACACGGTGGCTTTGACCTGCGAATGTCTCTTATCAGCTTCTGTATGAATGAAGCAATTTATTTCTGGCCTCAATTGGAAAAATGGTGGGATTCTCTTCCACTGCTGTTGAAAGTAAGTACAAGTTTTGGTCAATATTGTGCCATTTTCTCCATCCAACAAGATGGATAGGCTCTTCTACTATATGTAGTTCAGTTCGTTACTCCGGCAAACACAAGATGCTGAAATTGTTGTTTGGTCAGATGGGTTTGTTTGCATGCCGGTGAGTTAGGATGGTGGAGAAATAATGAGGCAGTGTTGCAAAAACAATGCCACGGCAAGTGAAAAATGCATCTTATTGAGAGCTGAGATGTTTTGTGGGTTTTCTGTGGGATTGGATTTTTTGAAATGTGCCAAGTTGCCAAACAAAATTGCATTTGCTCAGTGTTGATAATCGGGAAAATATAGACCAATACAGAACAATACATTCAATTTAAAGGTGAGGTACATCACTTTTTTTGTTTGATGATATCATATGTATTTGTCCCAACAGAAACATTTTTGTGAAAATAAAATGTAGAGAACAAATCAGACCACAGCATGCTGCAATCTTAATATAATTATACATCTAATATTTTACATACTTGTAAGAAAGAGAGTGAGTCACTATTAGACGCTTTGAGCTGATTGGCTGAGTGATAGTGGTCCTCTCTTTTTCACTTTTCTGTCTGAAAAAGTTGAGACTGAAGCCAAAATTACATGCATGTAATACCACACTGTAGTAAAATCCATGTAACAAGGACCTCTCTCTCAAAACAGAGAGAAAATTACGTAATCCCATCTTTTAAAGGTTGAGTTGAAAGTATTGAACTGGATTATTCATGGCTTTTTTCACAACTCTCTCATTTTGTCAATTCCCGCCTTGAATTGTTATATTCTATGGCAACCTTTAGAAAACAACCTATACATATTCAGCTTGTTTTTGTTGTAAATTGCTTTAGAGAAGGTTTTGCCAAGGCTGTCTTCCTCCTCATCACCTGCTCATTTAAGCAATATGATGAAGTATCCTCTCTACCTTTCCAGATGAAAAATTAGGGGCAATAATCATGCACTTTGAGTTGAGGTCATCTAATTCCTTAGATCAGCGTTTGTAGGACATGTTAGTACAGGTGGAAAACTCCCTGACTTTATACCAACCCCCCTCTGTATCTTATTTTCTCCCTCTGCTCCTGGCAAACTTTTCTGTGGCTGGTTTAAAAAGCTTGTCTGAGTTCTTAAACAAACTTGCTCTACACAATAGGGGCACATGCACTCTGCTGAGTCTAGAAGAATTTACAAGGTGAGGAATGTGAGTCGTATTTAACAGCTATTGTCACCGTGGTGCGAGAAAGCAACTATTTTAATGCATCCGAGTTAAATGGTAAAGACATTGTGTCAAGCCTCCTCTGAGCCTGAGGGTAAAGCTGATTTACCTTGCTTTACAACCACAAACTGCTCTTCAAACATTTTGGTTCTATCTGTATTTTTCACATGCATGTATGTTTAGACCTGTCACAGGTTTAGATCAGCTTTTTTTAGACAGAAATGTGAAAAAGAGCGGATCACCCTCACTCAGCCAAAACCCAGCTTAAAGTGCCAAAAAGGGTTTTTCTTACAAATATGCATAAGTTAAAGGTATATAGGAGGATTTTTTTCTTCCGGGTGGATCTTCAAAACTATTGGTCCTCCCAATTGTCAATCATTCTGATGAAACGTGCTCGTCCAATAAGACCAGAGACCATTGTTCAAAAAGGGGAAAGAGCAGTTCTTTCCTAAAATTTGGGAGAATCACCATGTGAACCGTTAAATGTGTACAAATCTTGTGATATGATTTGTACACACTTTCACAATTTGCTTATGAAAAAAATGTACCCCAGCTTTAAGCGCGGGAAAGTAGCCAAAACTACCGTCTTCTGCTTTTAATAAAACACTCCAACATGTTTACTTGTGCTTAAAGAGAATGGTGGAGTAGTTGGCCTCAGGTGGCTGGGCTTATGGTGTTTTATCTGGCATCGCCCGACTTCAAACAACCCCCTCCCCAAATACACTCTGTATCTTTAAAGGTAAAAGATTTAAAGCCTTAGGTGCTGCCTTTTATTGCTTAAAACGCATATGAAATTTGTAACGCAAGACTCCAGGGACTTAGGTGGTCTTACATTGCAAAGTTGCCAAATATTACAAGATATACACGGTGTAATTCCCTCTTTGCTTGTTTTGGCCCAAGGACAACAAGCTTAATTGGATAATGTGTATTTTCAAAATCGGGTCTGTTCCTTGAAAGCAGAGTTGATTTTATTGCTGACTGGTTTAAATCGGCCTAATGTGCTCTTGGTGTTGAATGAGTCACAGCGGATAGGGTTCGTCTTCCACAGTTTTAGGGGAAGCCCAGTCGATGTTCAAACAGCTGAAAGCTCTGGCTCCAAGATAAGTACTGGACAAGCCAACTTTCAGCCCACTCACTGAAATGACCCAAGCCACACTGTAGTCTGCAAGGCGAGTCTCGAGGTTTTACAGTACATGTACAGTATGCAACTTTTCTGGCTGCTTGTTTACATGGAGATGTGTTGTGTGGCCTGTAGTATGGATTGTATTTTTACCAGTATATTTTAAGGTCTATCGTCCCCGTATGGAAATGTATCTGAATTTGATCCATCCTTCTATAGATTATAATAAATGGCAAACTAAGTGTATTCAAGCCCTATATCATATAAATATTGGTCTGTGGTGTGGATACAGTGGAATAACAAAGGAAGTGGCAAAGAAATGACATTGATTGATGATGTTTGTGTCTCAGGCAGATAAGGGGGAGAAGCAAAACAGACACACCAGCAGGATATGTTTTAAAAGGGTGTTAAATCTTTAGATATATTGGTATTCTGTCCTTCCCTACTTAAGCTCTAATTAAAGCTGTGGTGCCTAACTTTCCATTCTATCCTATTGCCTAAATAAGTTTGGCCCATCACGAGTTTTCCCATGCATGTGTTTTTGGACGCTATCCTATCTTTTGATCACCTTTTTCAGATAGAAGGGGGGAATACAGAGGACCACCCTCACTCATGGGCGGCACGGTGGCTGAGTGGATAGCACTCTCGCCTCTCAGCAAGAAGGTCCTGGGTTCAAATCCCGGTTGGAACAGGGCCTTTCTGAGTGGAGTTTGCATGTTCTCCCCGTGTCTGCGTAGGTTTCCTCCGGGTGCTCCGGTTTCCCCTACCACTAAAATATGTACAATAGGTCTCGCATGTGCCTCCTGTTCTGGCGACCCCCACTCCCAAAAATAACAATTGTAAACCGCTTTGAGACTCCGATGTGCAGTGAAAAGGCGGTATATAAATAAAGATTACTACTACTACTCATCCAATCACCTCTCAGCACAAAGCGGAGGGCTCTGTCTACAAGTATGCAAGAGATCATAAGATGAAAGCAGCATGGTGTGCTCTGATTTGTTCCCACTATTAAATACCTTAAGAAGACTTTTACCGTTCAGACAAACACAATTTAGGCCCTGTTTATACAGAGACGCTGCGCAGACGTTTCCAGGTTATTAACAGAAACGACCTGGCTCCTAATGCAAATTTCTCAGCGTTCACATGAGGTTGAAAAACGATGTAGTTCTAGCGCCCGGCCAGTAGTGGGCAGATTAACTTAACAACACTCACACGACCCCCAGCCCCGTGCCCAGCCCCCCCCTCGGCAGTGTACTCACTTCCTGTGCCAGACCCTCAGAACGTACCAACATCATTCTGCATTTTAACAGCCGCTGTGAAAATGGAAACTGAACCTAGAGCTTCGCGTGGTCTGGTTTGGACGAACGAAGGAGTAGAATTATCCTCTGTGCCGCGCTGGAAGCCCACAAAGCTAGTTAGTGTGCGCTAGGGTTTAATATTTTTCCCGAAAATGAGACGTATCAAATCCCGGGAAAAGACGACGCCTTTCCCGGGAAATCCCGGGAAATAGCTGTTGTTTTTAGCCCAAGTAATGTATGATATCACTCAAATATATAATCCAACAAAAGCTGCCATCTCCACTAGTGTTTCACCAAGTGACTTGCTAGCTTTGCTAAAGTAGCCATAGCGTTTTCAGATGTTTTGTTGATGGGCTTTCTTCAGGAATTTCACTATTATGAGATTCTAAATGTCTGCGCAATCCACTTGTCGAAAAGTGACGTGCGGTGTGGTTTGGAGGCACTGACTTCAGCCCTGTCAGATGAACATATATCATATAAATCAACAGAACCTACAGAGCGGCTTATTCACAATTAGTTTGGCTACAGCCGAATGTTTTCCATGGCCCGCATTGTTTGCTCAAACAAAACGCAAAAGTTCGTAAAAGGCACATTTCCAATTGTGTTATGGGTCTTACCTTAGTTATTAATGAACAGCACAGACCACTTCAGTTCAGACCAGTTTCATGTTTAAGTCCAGATAATAGTTTGAGCGCAGATATGTAATCCCCCATTTGGAAATAAGCCCAAATAGTTTTAAAGCGTAAAACAAAACGGGTGCCACCTCCATAAACTCCTGTGTGTTCGCTGCAGCCGGCTCTCGGGCGCATCCAATTTCTAATATCAACCTTCTTACCCTTCTCCTCTCTTCCTTATCATTCCTATCGTCATTGTAAGCAGAACATTACCCTAAATGCATTTTATATGATTTTAAAATGTGTTATATGTATGTTAGCCAAACCTGTTGCTGCCCTTAGCAGATGGAAAAAAAGAAAGGAGCTTTCTGATAGAATTGGACGTAACCAAATTCTGGGCTCACATGCGCCCCGTACCCTGAGCCTGGCCTCATTACAAGTCGTGGTTTAGCGCGATTAAGACCCATATTTGTTGTCAAAAACACAATTTAGGAGCCATCCTCTCAGCTGTAGACATGTTGATTGTAAATGAAATATGTTTGAACTTTGAACAACAATAAACGTGCTTTATAATAGGAGCGCACTGTATTTTTTTTTAACTTTCATTTCCCGTTTCCCGTCATAACATTTCCCGGGAATCGGGAAATAGTTTTCATCAGATTTCCCGGGAATCCCGTATCCCGGGATTAAACCCTAGTGTGCGCGGCGCCATTTTTGTTGATGTTTGTTCTCCGCTACTGCGCATGTCCAAATTTACGTGCGGGGAGCAGCGGGGAGGCGGGGGTCAGAGCAGAGGGGGGATTTCACACCTTTCTCCCTCGCGGGTGTGAAAGAGAGCCCCCGCTGTGCAGCGTTTCTGAGTTGTCCCACTCTGCAGGCTGGATCTGAACACTTACGTTTTCACCCCCCTGAAACACAGTCTTTGTATGAACGGTTGGTAGGAACCGACATCCAACTATACCGTTTTACTGCCACATTGTCTCCGTGTAAACTCAGCCTTAAACACAACTGATAAATTAATTTTTGGACCTCAATAATTATATTACGTTGTATTATTCATGAACTTCCTTTTATGAAGACAAACTACGTAGTACATACTTTTCATCCCATTTTCAAATGACATTGATAATTGGGTAATATTAGCCAGCAAATAGTAATATATCACATCGAATGTCCAAATAGGATATTGGCTTAACTGAAACCAAATCTGAACATCCATTGTTACCAAATCCCTACATGTTATTACCCTAGTGCCTTTAACTGACTAACAATTGACAATTTGTTGTGCATTCATTTTCTGTAGAAGTGTATTTGTGCTAGCTGGGTTTGTGCTTGGACAGTAAAATACTCTCTCTATGTAGCTACCAGAAATGTTAATATCACATCCATAAAACCGTTATAAATGGAAATGCAATAAACAAAGTCATCACCTGTTTCAGCCAAAAACTACACACCCCTCCTTTAATGAGCCTCGTAGGATCTATCGATGTCTTGGACCAATTTATCATTTTCACTTTAGTGTTTTGTCATTCTTATGCTGCACAATAGAAGGAAACTGCACTTGTGAAAAAGGCATTGACCCTATGATATCTCTGCTCTGGTAATGCACTGTTTGACCCACGGACAGAAGACCCACCTTGTTGAAATATGCTCTGGTAGATTTTCTCACACAAACTCAACATTGACAAACTCCAGACACTTCAGGCCTGTATCCAGCCGCCTATGCCGATTACACGCAACTTTATGCACACATTTCAAACATACTTGGTAGCACTTTATCCTCCACGCACAGGCTGTAATTGTGCCTTATTGAGCCAGGTATGCTGCACACCTCACTGAGCAAACAGCCTGCAGAGTTCCTGTGGTTTTAATGTTTTGTCCTGTGTTTGCCTTGCTCTTGTTTCCATATGACCGCTCCATCTAACAAAGACTTTTCTGCCTCAGCGCCTGTCCCAAGGTTGACCCCCAAAAAAGTGCTTGAAAATGCGGCCAATTGTGACTCCGTAAAATGTCGGGTTACTGTCTGGCTTTAGAGAAATATAAGTAGTGTGTATTTACAGTAGATACTAATAATAAATGGAAGGAAGAGGGAGACAGAGCATTGATGGACGATGTTTGTGTCTCAGGGAGATAAGGGAGGAAGCAAAACAAGCAGGTTGAAGACGTGTTATCTAATAAGGGTGTTGTGTCTTAAGAGAGATTGATTATTTGTCCTAATGTGGGACTGGGGATTGTCGTGCTCTGTCCTGAGATGAAAATGTACTCCCAAACTTCAAGATATAAATTCTGTTACTACTCATTATCAATCACACAACATTCAAGATGCAGGTTTGTCTCTGTTAACATGAAAGCTGTATACTGTATAAATTGCGAGCAAAGTGGTGGATAAGTCTGGATTTTAGATGCATTGCAAAAGAGCAAGGTTATAGGTTGGTTGTTGGAGAAAGTTGACAGTATGTGTGAACAGTAACAAGAGAGAAGGCTCGTGGATTAGGTTGTTGATTTTATTCAGACACAGAGAGCTGATATGATTTGTGGCTAGAGAGGAATTAAAAGAAACACAAATTCTAACAAAGGATGTATTTGTCCTATATGATTGATATTCATAAAGAATAAGTGCACAGAAATTATTGTCAAGTTGTGTCTTCATCTTTAATCTCCATTTTGTAGACATATAGTAGAACATATAGTTTTCATTCCATGGTTGAACATGAACATGAACTTGAACATGTAAAAACTACTCCTTATGCTTGCTTCTAATTCATGCCCTATAAACAGTTGCGTGTCTCAGATCCTCGAACTTCTTACAGTTCCCTTTTGAAAAGCAAATTTGTGGTCCTTGGTAATGGGATTCTCTGCCTACAGTACATTGCATCAAGTACGTTCCAACTTTGAGCCCATCAGTTTCCTACGTATAATGCCTGGTAACTTTGCTCGCGTGATGTGATGATAAATCACAATCAGGAAAGTAAAATATAATATATGCGCTACATAACTACATTGTCTCCTTCCTCTATAATAATTGCTCATTGGTGGTCCTACCTTTTACTATAGTCAAAACTGTCGTTGCTGGGGTGTTATGAAAATGTTTCCAAACCAATTCCCAGGAGGCGGTGGTTGTAAAACATGTTCCTTTCACTTCTTCTCCAAAACAGTATTTTCTTCCTTTAAGTTGTTTAGACATAAAGTTGGGGTACCTGATTTTCAAACCACAAACAATGGAACAAAGTGTGAAATAGTGACTGTAATACATGTTGTCTTCATGTTATTATAAAACATGTTATATTTTGCTTTTAAGAGTCCTGGAGTCATTATTGGTTCATTAGTGGTTCTATTGTTTTAAGTTTTTCTGTCTGAAAAAGTGTATCTAAAGAATCCACAGAGGCCAAACATACATGTGTGTGAAAAGAACCAACGAGAGCAAGGACTACTTAGATAATTTTCTTACATAGTGTACTTTTTTGCAGTGTGAAAGCTAGATACCCCAGCTTTAACAAATAAACTATTCCAGTGTATGAACTGGAATGGCAGCAAATGAGAGGACATGTAGGAGAGGAAGCGGGTCACATAAGTCTCACTATAACACGAGTTTGTTTGGACGTAACCTCTGGACCTCAGGATGATATACTGACCCCTCTCACCTCTGCAGCCATGGAGGTGCTGGTGAGCGAGCTGGGGGTTCTGCTCAAGATGCTGGACCAAGAAAGTCTCAGCTCATCCACCGAGGAGAAGAAGATGTCTGTGTGGAACCTCCTGCAGCAGATACAGCCACAAGGTACATATTAAAATACATACTTTCTTCAATCAGTTGTCAAAAGGTTGCATTTATGTGATATCATAACATTCCTTGGAGTATATATTTTTATTTTGTGGTGTAAAAGTAAAAAAGTCAGACTTCTTGTTTTAGTGCTTAGCGAATTTCTCTGTAATTCCTGGGCCAATCCACATGAAAAAAAAGTCTCAAAGTTAGAGATTTTCTTTGTCAGTACCTATTAACTAAGGTCTAATTATTAACTCATTTAAGGTGCCTAGAAGTGGTGACAATATAAAAAAACATGCATGATGTTGACCAGTAGAGGACTTTGAGACATTTATGATAGATCTTAGTGTATAGTCTGAATGCATGTTATAATTCTCTCTCTCTGCAGTGTCTGGCACAGATTACATCTACATGAACTCTTCCGTGTACAGAAATGGGACCAGCTTTGTGGAGTCGTTGTTTGAGTCATTTGGTAAGTTTAAACACCACTTGTGTTTCTGTAGATTTGTGCAAAACCTATTACATCGTGGGACTTTAGAGAAAAATGCATAGGGAACGGCATACTCACACAAACGTGGGGACTTGGAAAATTGCAATAGCTTGTACTTTGGCTAGAGTTACATTGTGTTACTTTGCGTTACGCTATTATCTGTATCATCAAGTTGTGGTTTTATAGTTCTGCCAAACCAACTGATTAACAATACCCACAAGCCACCATTTCCTTTAACATCTCATTTATTTCCCCAAGATGTTTTTGTTTTTTAAACTGTTTCAAGAAGCTTCTTTACCTTGCCGTAATGGCAACACCATTGATGCAGACACACATTAAATAAACAAGATTTATTGAATTAATATGTAAAATGTCTGATGCCAATCTCCTTATATTTTATCTACAAGTTGATATAATCCATCCATCCATCCATCCATTTTCTACCCTTTAATCCATTCCTGGGTCAGGGGGGTGGCAGTCAGAGATGCCACCCAAGTCTCATAGCACCAGCCCCTCACTGACCCTCTGCAGGTGGTGAGTCCACAGGAGGACGGCTGCTCTCTGAGTGTGAGCACAGCCTTGATCTTTCAGTGGGGGTTTTGGGCAAAGTGGGGTTAAGTGTCTTGCCCAAGGACACAACGACAGCAGTCATCAGTGGGAGTCGGTGGAGAAGGTGTAGAGGTGGGAATTGAACCCACGACCTTCAGGCCTGAAGGCCAATGCTCTACCAACTGAGCTACTGTCGCCCCTGGGGCGACAGTTGATATAATCCTCTCTTTTAAATTAGAGCAGAATAGAGGGGTGGACTATAGTGTGATTGTCACTGTTACAATCCATCAATCACAAGCTGCCACTGGGGCCTTCATGGAAAACTTACACTGTAAAGTAGTGGTTTTTAATTATTACATTGTTTTTTTATTTATAAATGACCTCAAAAGTAAAAAAAAAGTTATGTACAAGCACACATTTCTCTGGAGATACTCTGAGATGATGCTGCAAAAGAATCATCTCTTCAAAAAATAAAGCAAAGTTTCCCCGACAGCATTTCCTTTCAATGTATTTTTGTATAGCCCAAAATCAGTCGTCTTGAAAGGTTTCACAGAATTGTCTGGGCAGATTAGAAAATAAAATTATGACACATAAGAAATACTTGGGGCGACAGTAGCTCAGTTGGTAGAGCAATGGTCTTTGGACCTAATGGTCGTGGGTTCGATCCCACTACGACCCATGTCAACTGCTCCCACTGATGTCTGCTGTCGTTGTGTCCCTGGGCAAGTCACTTAACCCCAATGTGCCTGAAGTCCCCGCTGAAAGACCAAGGCTGCATCTGTGTCGAAGGAGCAGCCATCTTCCCGTGGACCCACCACCAGCAGGAAGATCAGCAAGGGACTGGTGCTTTGTGAATTGGGTGGCAGTTCTGATTGCCACCCCCCTGACCCAGAAATGGAAAATAAAGGGATGTAAATGAAATGAAATGAAAGAAATACAATTATAAAACCAGTCATGGTCTATAGGACAACGGGTTAACCGATGTCCATAAATGTCTTGGATCATCCCCAGTCCTTAGACCCTCCTGCATCAGCATGGAAAAAGTCACTGGGAGAAAATAAAGTAGAAACCTTGGTGAGATGCACAGAGACCATGATTACCCATGTGTGCTGTTTATCCATCCATCCATTTTCTTCCCCTTAATCCATTTCTGGGTCGGGGGAGTGGCAGTCAGAGCTGCACCCAGTACACAGAGCACCAGCCCCTCACTGATCCTCCTGCAGGTGGTGAGTCCACAGGAGCTGAGATATTTCAGCGGGGGCTTCAGGCTAAGTGGGGTTAAGTGTCTTTCCCAAGGACACAATGACAGCAAACATCAGTGGGAGTCGTGAAGTAGATCTTAAAGTGGGCTCGAACCCACGATCTCCAGGCCCACAGGCCAATGCTCTACCAACTGAGCCACTGTGCTGTTTATATCAGGCTATATCAGTGATACTGTTGCAACATACAGTGAAATATGCACATTTAAATCTGATCTGTTTCTTATTGCAGACTGTGAAATTGGAGACCTAAAGGAAGTCACAGACGAACTAAAACTGGACAAAGACACGAAAACAAACATTTTAAAACAGGTATGTGGCATCAGTGAAACAGGCTGCACCGCTGTATAGCTGACACAAAGTGCAGCTCAACCGCCAAGCCAATACATGTCCGGCCTGGAGGCATCTGGCACCAAAAGTTGTCCCATTTTTCACTTGTCATCAAGTTTTATATGGGACCATGAACTTTTAACTGACTTTGCAAATGCAGTCTGATTATTCGGTTTTAGGCTCTCTGTGAAAACTTGCATTTATGAATGAATTTAATTGGGTCAAGACGCCTTTCACACATGTCAGAATATGTTAGAATATTACCTTGGACAATGTAAAAAAATTACTAGTACAATGTGGGACGAAATGACGGCTGTCTAAAAGTTACATTTCAGCCTGAAACAGAAACCACACACACATGACGATTGTCTAATCCTCGAATCTTCTCTAGTGTGAATGCTGTTTAATTCAGTTCTAACATAAAAGCAGTAAGTTAAGTAGTTGTGTTATCTTTATTTCAGTATTCCTTCACTGTCCTACATTGATTTTTGCCAATGGAGCAAGCCTAAAATGTTTGGTTGTACTTAAATTAGGCATTAAAACCAAACAATATCTTGGACCCCAGGGGATTCAAAATATTTTAATACATTTCTCACTTGGAATGAAAAAAATAATTGTTGTGCTTGAAATAACTGATTGTTAAGTTCGTTTTTTTGATTATCCTATCATACTACTATCTGCAGTGAAACCAGCAAATCCGTGCCAAGTCTTTAAAGCCGGGGTACCGAACTTTCAAACCACTAAAAATGGAATTTGATAACATAGATTATCAGTTTGTGTCTATCACTAGTTTTCACATGCATGCATAGTTTGCTCTCTGTCACACATTTTCATGCAGCTTTTTCAGAAAGAAAAGCGAAGAACAGAGCACCACCCTCCATCAGCCAACCAGCTGAAAGCCCGAAGTGTCAAACAATGACTCAGAGGGCTCTATCTTACTAGTTTGCAAAAGATAACATGTTTTCTAGATGAAGGCAGAATGCTGTGGTCTGATTTGTTCACAACATTTTAGTTTCACAAAGCTCTTTCTGTGAGGACAAACAACAAGACTTATTTATGAAGAAGTTAGGTACCGCAGCTTTAACTTTGGACTAAAACAGCCGTCTCCATTCACAACTTTCAATAACCGTTGATAGATTTCCAGCATATCCACGACAAGTAGACAAGATGCATCATCATGACGTGACGGTGGTATGTTTGTGTTTGTTTGCCTACAGGACAGTACAGACTCCCCCCCGCCTCTGCCCACCACCCCTCCCCTGAAGAGTACTACGAAGAGGCCGTCCCGCTCAGCCCTGGCAAACTGCCCGAGTACATCATCACCAGAGGTTAGCTGAGCTTCTTCTGGTCTACCAAACCCACTCTGCTGCATTTTTCCACCAAAAACCTCTCAATTAGACCAGGTTTACTGTAATTATATAAACATAGACGTATAGCAAGCTGAATTACAGGGGTGAAGATACATCAAACACCAAACTTATAGCAAAAGAGCCCATTTGAAATCTCTTGTCCTCCAATTTCAGTCAGACCCGCGCCTCCCATGGAAGATGGTTATGAAGAAGCTGAAAACCACTACCCCACAACATGCATCAACTCACAGCGGAAAAACTCATGTGTGTATCTATACACTTACTTCTGTAAATGTTTTTAAGCAGAGTCTGCCAGTTACATTTTTCTTTCAATTTCTTAAACTTGATCTTCAGCTGACTAAAAGTACTCATGAGATCATGAAGCAAAGTAACATATGCCAAGCCTTTGTTTTGTGTTACGGATTGGAATAGGAACAATCATCATTCTTCTTTATAATCATCTAGATAAATGGATTCAACAGCTAAATGTTGCTGAATTGCCTGTATTTAAAGGCGCTACACCCGTTTCTGCAATGTTTGAATGTTTAGCACCGCCACCCAACTCGCTCACAGGCTTCTCATTTCCCCTACGCTCTCATAACACGGAGCCACCTAGCTTTATTTGTGATCTGATACGTATGCTAACATTAGCATTAGCGCAACTTGTAAGCTGTACAACAATCACTGATGAAATGGTACTAAAGCAATGCACTGCTAACACAATATATAAGTAAAAGAATACCACTAGTTTCGCGTCCGAATGTATTAATTTAAACATTAGAATATATTCTAATATTTAATTATAATTTATTATACAGCTCCTCACAGCAGCAGCACTCCATTGACTTGAATGCAATTCTTCCGATCATTTTCTTGATAACAGAACTCTCAAACCAATAATCACTGCAGCCCCAATGCAATCTCTGTTTGTAATTCAGGTGTGTAAAATACTGCCATTACTTTGCAAGTACAACAAGCCTTCAGCGCCTGTCACTACATTGTGCAGTTTCTCTGCACACTTGTCTGTGTAGAGAAGCTAGCGGAGCTAGCCACGCTCAATAAACAAATACATACTGTATCAATCAATCAATCAACACCATTAAACGTCAATCGGACAATACAGCATACATATACATCCTTAACACACATGCATGGACAATTTCAGAATTTGCTGTCAACGTTTTCATGACAAAAATACTGTTTTGATGTGACAAAAAGCGATCGCGAAAAACCCGGAAGTTACCATGAAACAGCTATCTAGCTTAGCTGTTACCTGCCTAGCACGTCCCGGTGAAACCTTTGGGAGCTAACTATTTTATTTGCCGTCATTAAATACATTTCAAATTATAAGGGTTGTCTAATATTTGTTCAAATATATATATATTTTTATTTTAGAATTATATTCAAATTTTGAAGTCGAAGCCCTGGTGTTAAGCAGCGCTGTAGAGGCTAGAGGACGCAGGCTGGTCGCTGCTCGTTCTGTGAGCGGAGGAGAAAGAGCGGCCCGCTCAGACTCTACTCAGCACTTTTCACTGCCTGAATTTCATACACAGTGGAATCAATGACCTCAAGTTTTCAATTAAATTATGTATTATGATACAACTTGTATGTAGTAAAAAGCATTTTTATGAACTACTTAGAAAAAAAATCGGGTATAATTTCTTTAAGTTGTTCTTGTTCCAAATGCTAAACAAAATGTAAAAGCCAATCTTGTGTGGGTATATATCACATCTTGTTGTGCCATGATCACAAAATAATCTTAGCTTTACAATGAGATAGAGCATGTCTGTATTTGCAAAGATGAAGTTGGCTGGATGACACAGAATGTATGTTTAGCAATGGCTAATTTCGGGTTAGCAAGACAAAGGTCCTCAGAAAGCAAAACAATCGGCCGTAACTAGCCCTCGGGCCCTAGTGGCTGGTTGACACAGGTTCTGTTTTCTGTACATAGAAGTGTAAACAGGTGAATATGTGTGATATGTCCAGACAATGACTCGGACGCTCTGAGCAGCTCTTATGAGTCGTATGAGGAGGACGAGGAGGAGCGCAGTCCTGGCGTGCGGCTGACGCACCAGTGGCCCTCAGAGGAGATGAGCTCCATACCTCCTGCTCGCGACTGCCGCATCTGTGCTTTCCTGCTGCGCAAGAAACGCTTCGGTCAATGGGCCAAACAGCTCACGGTGATACGGGAGAACCGGCTTCAGGCAAGTCACCACTGAGAATTTAGTGTTATTACATTTATTGTTATGCATTTTAATTGATTTTTTGTTTTTATTTATGTCATTTGTGTTCCTTATGTCTTCTGAATAATTCCTGATGTCCATTTATTTTCTAAGATGCTAACATTTAGGCTACATCAAAAAATTAAAATTGCGCTTTTTGATTGCACTCCTGCACGTATAACGATACTGAGCTGAGTTCCCAAAGTGTGGGTTGATGAATTGGAATTCTTGGATTTTGATCCTAATAGCCTGGGTACCTAACAATCAAACCACATAATATTTTTTTCACGCACATGTATTTTTGGCCCTTTTTAGACAGAAAAGTGAAAAAGAGAGGACCACCCTCATTCAGCCAATAAATTATCATCCCAGAGTAGATAACCTTATATTATGACTCCAGGGCTCTTTCCCACACATAAGCAAAAAACTAAAGCTTTCTAGGATGTGTTAGAGTCTCATTTTATTTGACTCTGTTTGGACAAACACATGGTATTATTTATGTACCCCAGCTTTAATAATTTATGTGAATGACTTTTATTTATTTTTTCCTGGAAATGATGTCAAATCAAACACTAAACAAAGAACCAACTCCTGCTGTCAATGTCGTTCTGCAAAGAAGAGTTACGATTTCATCCTGTAATAGTTTGGAAACTGTTGGTCTTGACAATTAATGTAGTCTCATGTTATCTGTCATATCTTTTCCTTTAGTGCTATAAGAGCTCCAAAGACACCACCCCTTATGTAAACCTGCTCCTGCCCCAGTGCCTTGTGGTCTATGCCCCTAAAGACAGCAAGAGGAAGCACCACGAGCTCCGTTTCTCTCTGCCCAATGGAGACGGCCTGGTGCTGGCTGTGCAGAGCAAGGAGCAGGCCCACAGGTGGCTCCGGGTGAGTGCAAACAGTTCACTATTTATTAGGACTGAAAATATTGACGTAGACACCGACCTCCATCACTTAACTGGTGCATGAAAATGTTCTTTTTGAGATAACTTGAGTCATTTCAAGACTCAACAGTAACAGGGCATTCTTGCCTTGTGTAGGTCAATGTGTGTTACGTTTTTTTTCCCCCAGATCAAAATGTCTCCATAAAGTTAAAAAAATAACATTTTCTTGGTCAGGTGGTCCGGGAGGTGACCGACCAGAGTGCTGCCACTGACGAGGCATCTCCGGTCATCGCAAGAAAAAATGAACTTGACAAGGTATGTGTGTGTGTGTGCATGTTGTGTGGGTGTGTGTGGGCGTGGGGGGGGGTGCATGTGTGCGTGTGTTTGTGGGCGTGTGTGTGTATAGAGTTTTCACCACTTGCTGTAATTTATCTTTACGACTGAGGTGTGGAGAAGTCAAGACAAGCTGTAATTGTGTTGTCACCATCAATTTTCTTGAACAACCGCTTCGCTCTGGTGTCACTCTGGAACAAAGACGGGAAGTTGAAATGATAGGAGAGACTTTGCACCATGTGGAGAGCAGGTGATGCAGCAGAATTTAGAAAAGTGCTTCTGTTTCGTTTGCATTGGGATACATGAAGGCACAGTGGTGCAGGGGTTAGAGCTTGTGTTTCTCAGCAAAAAGGTCCTTTTCACAAACGCTAGGGGGAGCCAAAATGGCGGCGATGACGCAGGAGAATGACCTCCCACAGCAGCGGACAGCAGTCTGGTTGGAATCTGTAGGAGGTTTCACTGTCATCTGAACAAGGTATAAACATATTTTCATCCGTTTTGTACATAATAGTGTGCAACTCTTTTAACCTTTTAGCCTTATTTGTGAGATTCAAGCTAATTAGTGTTGGGCAAGTTAGCTAACTCTACTTGATATCATAAAACATGCTTACAAGGCTAATATTCGTTTTTACATTATGCCAGTCTCACTTTGCCTTAGATTTATTTACCACAATTTACATTGTAATATCCATAAATGCTAATCAAAATAACTTGAATTAAATAAATATTTGTCTTTTATGAACATAAAGCTGCAGAAGATGAAAACATAGACTACATGTGATGCAATCATTGATAAAAATGATAATTAAACCGTTAATAGGTGTTAGCATTTATGGATATGACAATGTACATTGTGGTAAATAAATCTAAGGCAAAGTGAGACTGGCATAATGTGAAAACGAATATTAGCCTTGTAAGCATGTTTTATGATATCAAGTGGAGTTAGCTAACTTGCCCAACACTGATTAGCTTGAATCTCACAAATAAGGCTAAAAGGTTAAAAGAGTTGCGCACTATTATGTACAAAACGGATGAACATATGTTTATACCTTGTTCAGATGACAGTGAAACCTCCTACAGATTCCAGCTAAGACTGCTGCTGCTGCTGTGAGATGTCCTTCTGCTACGTCATCGCCGCCATTTTGCCCCCCCCCTAGCGTTTCTATACGGAAGTGAAAAGGTGCCCCTTTAAAGCCGTTTTTTTAACATAATTCATCTGAATATGTCGCAATGAACACCCGAAATATTATAAACACATATTGTAGTTATATATTCTGGATAGCAGCATATTAAATTCTAGTACTACTTTGAACAAAGCATCTTAAAATCCTCACCGTATAAATCAAAATTGATTATAATTAATAGCCATATTGAGTTCGTATTGAAATGTTTGTATTGTGACAACATTATTACTCAGTAAGTGAGTTGTGGGCACATAAATCCTGGTTGTAAATGTAAACTATTTTCTCACAAATAAAATAAAAATGAAATGTGGCTTGTGCTGCAGAGGTTGTCAGCTGAGAGGAACGCTTCAGACTCTGACAGCGTGGGTGTGTCAGAGACCTGCAAGGAAAACGGTGAGAGGAGTTCTGGGCATGTCGTGACACAAATCACTGCTTTGGCAAATAAAACCTTTGTTACATCAGAAGTGTGTTTGTTGATGCAGGTAAAGTGAAGCGAGGGGCGTTCGCTGCTGGTCGTAAAATCACACGAATGATCAGTTTCTCCAAGAAAAAACCTCCTAGACCTGGAGCTGCTTTCACTGACATTCGACAAGGTCTGATCACTCAACAACATACTTACTGTATATGTCTGTATTTATGTGGACTTGCTGGAGCTCCATATAAAGTTTCATTATCTTTATGCAAAGTTTCAAACAAAAAATACATTGAAATTAGATAACATTAGATAAAAATAAATTGATAGTCAATTGCTTCTCCCTAGCATGTGGCTATAGCCTCTGTCCAGAAAAAAGAGCCATAAGACTCGATTATAATTCAGAAATAAAATGTCACTGGTAAGAAGTTATTATTGGCTCGAATCAGGCACAATAGTTTGTATAATTTCCAAGTAGAACATGCAGCTTCTCGCTGTTTTTGCTCCTTCCAAGTAAGACATTTCTTAATTAAAGTTGCATGTTATTCCAACCCTCCCTCCAGTACAGAACAGTTTGTGTTTGCTGCAGGCTACTTGCTGGTGCTGGTGAACCAGGTGTGGCGGGAGCAATGGTGCTGTGTGTCCAAAGGCTTCCTGCGCTGTTACAATGAGAGAGGCGACGCACGCACCTCTCTGCCCTCCGTCCCGCTGCACGGCTGTGAGGTGGCCCCCGGCCTGGGACCCAAACACCCCTTTGCCTTCCGCATCATGAGGAACAGCAATGAGGCTGCTGCTCTGGAGGTAACTTCATTCACAGAGCTGCAGAGGAGTCCAAAGGCCCTCTGGGGATAACTCCCAACTAGTGACAATAGGATTTCATTTGAGAGAGAAGACAAGCAGTACAGCCCTCTTTTTAATGTCTGATATATAATTACATGTGGGTTGCACCAGATTTATACGAGATAAAACGGAACAAAGTCACAAAAGAAGCTTTAAAACAAGTTATGCATTGTGCTCAGTGATTCTCTACTGGTGTGTTGCCCCTGGGAAACAATTTATTATTTGAAATATCAATGACACTGAAAAAAGTGATCTAGAAAGAAGTCAAAAATATCCATGATTGAAGAAAGTCCTGTTTAGAAATCTATCTATAATGAACACATTTAAACTTCCTTTCACTCAGATACAGACTTTTGATAGCGTAATTAAGAGCCCCCCCCCCTTTTCTTTTTTTAACCGACAGCTTTGACCGGTTAAGGCTGTGACGGTCAACTACTGGTTTAACGGTCACCGATTTACATTCCTACTCCTGGAAGGATGTTTATGCCGATATAAGTCGGCCTTCAGTATATACACAAGTTTTGTTTCATATGACATATCTAAACAATGTATTTACTTAAAACACATTTTGAAACCCAACCAAAGTGTAGCTTCCACATCTCGAGACCCTAAATGCGCTCATGGTGCTGTGTGCGTAGGCGAGCAGCTCGGAGGAAATGGGCCGGTGGCTGGGCGTCCTGTTAGCAGAGTCCGGCTCCATGACCGACCCAGAGTCCCTCCATTACGACTACGTGGACGTGGACACTCTCGCCAACATCCGCGATGCAGTGAGACACTCTTTCCTGTGAGTGGAACACATCGTGCTGGGTCAAACTGGGGACGCACAGGAATCGGCTCAATGTTATTTACTTTTGTTTGCTTTGTGATTGAAGGTGGGCCTCTACTTCATGTTCCCCTGACTACGATGATGTCCCACATGAGGACATGCAGGTGGGTCAAAGATATTATTGTAAAATGAAGATGGTGGAGGCCTTTTGCACTCAGCTAGAAACAATTTAGCAATGGGAGAAAAGTTGGAAGTGTAACTTAAAGGAGCTATACCCGTTTCTTCAAGGTGTGAATGTTTAGCACCGCCCCCTCAAAACATTCACTCACAGGTCTCTCATTTCCCCTACGCTCTCATTCCACGGAGCCATCTAGTTTTATTTGTGATCTGATACGTATGCAAACATTAGCATGAGCGCAACTTCTTGTAAGCTGTACAACAATCACTGATGAAATGGTACAAAAGCAATGCACTGCGAACAAAATATATAACTCCGAGCATAGATAGTCCGAGGCGGTCCAGCAGGTCTCTCCCATAGACTGTAAGTCTCTCCAGAGGATGTAAGCTAGCTATGTTCACCTGGGCTTCATTTCTTCTTTGATCATTTTTCGCTTTAGTGCCCTCTTCTCTTCCTCACTGTTGTGTCGTTTGGGTTGTTTTGCTGTGTCTGCAGTTACAGCCAGAGGAGTTATAGCCAATTCTGCTAACATGCTACTGTGTTTAGCAGCGCTGTAGAGGCTAGAGGACGCAGCCTCGTTCTGTGATTAGAGCGTCACGCCAAGTCTCTACTCAGCACTTTTATACGGCCTGAATTCATACTCAAACTGAATCAATAGGCTCAAATTTTCAAAGAAATTACGGATTATAATACAACTTGTATGTAGTAATAAGCATTTCTATGAACTCATTAGATAAAAAATTGGGTATAGCTTCTTTAAAGCTCTGGTATCTAATTTATTTTTTCATTAATATTCTATGTTGTTTGTCCCAAGAGAAAGAGTTTTGTAAAAGTAAAATGTGAACAAATTGGACCACAACATGATTATCAGAAAACAATTGATCTTTTGCATAATTGTAAGAAAGAGTCCTGAGAATCACTACTTGCCCATTTTGGCTGAGAGCTGATTGGCTGAATGAGGATGGTTAAGTCAAAATACATGCATGTGAAAAGTGAAAACCATAGATATAACGAAACTGTTTTGAGAACAAGAACGAGTAAAATGGATTTCATTGCCTTGTTTTTTGTTGTTGTTGAAATTTTGTTCCCCAGCTTTAACTAAGATGTCTGCCAATGCATGTGCAATGTTTAGGAATCTTTTATTGGGTCAGAAGATCTTGATCGACTTGACCGATGTTTTCTTACTAAAGTGTGGCTATGCCTTTGCAGCTACAAATCAATTGCCCTTAATCTGAATCTGAATCAATTATAAGTTTCAATAAGCTGTCTGGGCTATAACATAATGAGCACATTTGTTTTACTGGTGTAGGAAATTGATGATGTGAAAATTACAAAAACAAGTAGATTTTCTTGAACAACTTTGCTGCCTGCACCAGCTGTTGGTTCCCATCAGTGAATACGATACTTCCATCATTTGAAACCACAGGCCCCAGCAGAGCCCTGTTTCATGCCTGTCAGTGAGGTAAAGGGCGGATGAAAAAACTGGAGAAAATACAAGGGAAGTGTGAGGGGTGAGAGGGGTGAGAGCGAGGCCGGGGTCAGAGCAGTTTTACAGCCTGTAAACGGCTGCTTTAACCCTACGGACATGCTTTAAAAACACTACAGTACATTTGGAAGGACGCTTGTTTTATAGACTTGCCTGCCCTCTGCACATCCTCCGACGCAAGTGCTGCAAGAACAACACAAAGAGGAATTTGACTTTACACTTGGTCACATCCACAAATATTTAAAGCTGGGGTACCTAATTTGAACTACAGTATGTAACAAAAGCCATTCAATTAGTTTCTGGCTTTTATAAGTATTTGGTTCTGCGACTAGATACAAGTATTGTTGGCCTTTGTCACATTTTTATGATCACTTAACCAACCAGCTCTCAGTACAAAGCCTCAACTTGTGACTCTTTCTTCAAGGGATACAAACAATAACATGTTTTTTTTGGTTTTTTTATGAGAGGAAGGAATGTTGTGGTCTGATTTGTTACTATTTTATTTTTTTATTCAACAGGGACAATGTAGTCATGCATTGTGTCAGCTGATGCGACACATACAGAGTGTAGAGCTAATGCTAATTTTCAACTCCTGTCCCTGGTTGAGATGTAGAACACATTATACAAAATGAATAAAATAGACCTAGCCCTGAAACACATATTTACAACAGTGATCTAACATTAAGACATTCCCCGCACCAATGACAGCTATATGAACGACGCACTTTCTTAGGGAAGATTAATTATTTACGGAATGAAAAAAGTTGGGTTCTCCTGCTTTAAGACCAGCCATACCAAATAACAAATAATTTACACATATGGTCTATCTCCTGTAGGCTGAGCAGGACCTCGGCAAACGGCGCTCCAGTTTCTCCAGCAGCGACTCGGACCGGACCAAACCGTCGGTCTCTCTGAAGCGTTCCGGCTCCAGTAAGTCCCAGCATTAAAACTGCTCCTCTACTTGTCCTCATAAAGAAGATGAAAGAGGCTGGCATGAGTCCAACGTTGAAGGATTCAGTGTGGATTCGTACATTCTGTCAGCAGCGGGCAATTTCTGTAATGAAACCTCATCTTTCATGTGGTTTGTCTCGCTGTCCTCTCAATCATTTTCTTTCACTTTTCAGCTTAAGAAATAAATCTCTATTTTTGTATTCTAAATGTTGCTTTCTGCTGTCTCAGAGCAGAATTTCTTATGTTTTTAGCTACATTGTCTTCAGTGTTTGTAGTCTACTGTGCACACTGGGCATTTTTGCACTAATTTCCCAATGTTGTTTTTAACGGCAGATGGAATTTAAACTCGATCCGATCCATGTGGTCAGTGCGTTTTCATTTTATTCAAGAGTCTAAGCCACTTCAAAGGGCAAAGATTAAGACTTGAGTGGTAGTATGAGATTTATAGGTTGGAAGCATTAGCTGTGACACTACCCCTCTCCGCAGGGTGCTCGGATTTTATTACTAAAACAATTTCCCGGTTTCACGTTTGAAATAGAAAATAGGTCATATTCGGCTTAAAAAGGTGTGAAATTGGAAGGATACGCGCATTGATTCCCATAACCCGTGTGACCTCTTCTTAAAACGTCCTGTCCCTTTTGACATCTTCTTCACGTAGATGCCAATCAATATGGCCGCTATGGGAAAACGCGCGCAGAGGAGGACGCCAAGCGATACACGAAGGAGAAGGAGGAGCTGGAGAGAGAACGGGACGGGATCAGAAAGACACTGGTGGTTCTGAGGCAAGAGAAGAAGCAGCTCAAAGATGAACTGACAACGGCACATGGTAAAGAAATGTTTTGATTTTGATGTTTTTGGGCCGGTGTTATTAATATATTAGATAGTCTTTTTGGCTATTGCATGTACTGCTGTGTTTCAAAGTGTACTCATAGATAGAAATTCTGTTATTTTAGTTACTATTTTAATTATTATTATAGATGATAACACAAAGACTTTTTCCCACTCTGCACATTGTCCTTAAATAAATCAAACTTAAAAAAATAAATAAAACAAACTTAAACTCATCATTAGTGATTATGTGAAACCATTTTTTGCGAATGTGTTTTTGTGTTTTCTATTCAAATTGTAACATGATTGAGCCAATCTGGGGAGATGATCTCAAATATGGAGTTAAAGCAGGACAGCCCAGGAATTTACATGGACTGAAGGATTTTTTTTCCCTAAAAGAATGAACTACTTTACCATCAGAGAGGACAAATAACCGTGTCCACATCCAAACACATGTTATTGTTTTTGAGAGTGTCCAAAAGCAGGTCTTTTCCACTTATGGCCCAGGGTTAAATCAGGCTCTTTAAAGCCCAAGCCCTCTCTTCCAAATGCAAAATATATACATTTTCTACTTATTAAAATTATCAGAGTTTAGACTATTAGTTTTTCACCCCTTTATTCTTCCATTTCTGGGTCAGGGGGGTGACAGTGAGAGCTGCCACCCAATGCTCATAGCACCAGTCCCTCGCTGATCCTCTGCAGGTGGTGAGTCCACAGAAAGATGGCTGCTGCATCAGTGGTGCCACAGCCTTGGTGTTTCAGTGGGAGCTTCAGGCAATGTGGGGTTAAGTGTCTTGCCCAAGGACACAACGACAGCAGACATCAGTGAGAGCAGTTGGAGTAGGTCCCGAGGTGGGCTCAAACCCATGACCTTCCAGCCCAAAGGCCAATGCTCTACCAACTGAGCTATTGTCGTTATTTTAGTTTTACAAAAACTTCCTAAATGCTGTCAACAAATAATATTTAAAGTAGATCAAATGTTTATTATGTTAAAGTATATTTAGAATATGGTTCTACTAAAGTTCCAGCCCTTGAAGACAGTTGCATAGCCCTGGAATGAAGTAATAGATGTTCTGGAATGCATTTTTGACACAATTATTTTTTTTTAAGTGGAAGAGTGTCAAATTGTGCATTATGTATGTTTGAGTTATATCTTGTTCAAGTCATATAAAATATGAGAAAAATACACATATGTAATATTTATAAGTTAGATTTGATCTTAGTTCTAATGTCCATCCTGTTCTGCTGTCGGCTTCTGTAAAGTATTTTCTCACAACTGGACGACAATGTGATAGTGTCTGATCTTTCTTCTTTCTTCTTATTACATTTCATCAGATATACATTTGTTTTTTTAATTACAAATATTCAGTTCTGTCTGACGCCACATGGAATCCTTTTCATTTTTTAAATGAACCAGGTCTTGATGTTGTAATGTTTATTGTGCAGAGAGGAGAAAGCCTTTCCTAAATAAGCGGATCGCAGAGTCGGAGGAAAAATGTCGAGCCAAAGAAGCCGAGAGAGTTGATCTGGAGCTGAAACTGACTCAAGTTAAAGAAAATCTGCAGAAAAGTCTTGTAGGAGGAGGATTCGTGTCCACAGTGCAGACCAAGCCACCAGCCAAGGTAAAGCACTAGAATATTTGGGGCTTAAGCAATTTTCAGACTTTATTGTTAATGTGTGAATGTATCTTGTATTTCCAGGCATCGAGTAAGAAGCACCAGAATATCTACATAGACGGTTTACCTGTGAATTGTGCCGCTGAGTTGAGGCGGAGGCCACCGTCTGTGTACGCTTCATCTACTGGGACAGTCATGCAGAAAGCAAAGGTGCAGCATGAGTTTGTACTTGCTGTTTTGTACTGCTGTCATGAACTGTAAGGAGAGAGACCAGAGGGAGACCAGAGGGAGACCAGAGAGAGACCAGGGAGAGACCAGGGAGAGACCAGGGAGAGACCAGGGAGAGACCAGGGAGAGACCAGGGAGAGACCAGAGAGAGACCAGAGAGAGACCAGAGAGAGACCAGAGAGAGACCAGAGAGAGACCAGAGAGAGACCAGAGAGAGACCAGAGAGAGACCAGAGAGAGACCAGAGAGAGACCAGAGAGAGACCAGAGAGAGACCAGAGAGAGACCAGAGAGAGACCAGAGAGAGACCAGAGAGAGACCAGAGAGAGACCAGGGAGAGACCAGGGAGAGACCAGGGAGAGACCAGGGAGAGACCAGAGTTGCAGTCATCAACATTTACTGGTCAAAATGACAGTGTTCTCACTAATGTATTATTTAATTATTCACTAATGTATTATTTAATTATTTTTCAGGAATGGGAATCGAAGAAGGGAACCTAAAGTAGCACTGTTGTGAGAACTACAGAAGAGCAGAAGACGCTGGGACACCCCAAATATTCCTTGTGAATAGTTGTGAATTTGTAATGAAAGTATGTGACCACTAGGTGGAGGCACCTGCCTAATAATAGTAACGAGATACACGATGAGGTAATTCTCAGTGTTGGTGTAAGGCCGGTTTGAGATTAAATGGAAAGTTAGTGTTTTGAAGAGGGTAATGTAAGTGTGAATATTATTGTTTAGTGAAAGATTGTGTTCTAAAGGGTGAAATGTTTAATATTTAAGCACCATAATGATGTCAGAGAAATGTGATGAAAAAAGGTTTGCGCTCAGAAGTGCCTTTAAAGTGTGGATATGTCTGTACATAGAGGAGGATGACTACTGTTTTGAATATATATTTTATATGTGGGTCTCATACCAGATCAACATCATCATGAAACATAGAGCGGGTGTCAGGGCTGCTCAGCTGTGTGCCACTCAATTACTGCATTATACATCAACTGCACTTCAGTTTCTCCTCCTGAAGCTGGAGGCTGGAAACAGAGCTAAGGCTTAACTAAGATAATGTGGTTTCAGCAAACTATGTGGAAAAACCTGCAGCAATGTCTGTGGGTGTAGATTATACTGTATATGTCACTGCTTTGTCACGACTAACAAAGTGCTTCTCATTCAAAGTCATTAAGTTCTCTTTTCTGTATTAACATAAATGTAAATTGGTGCTGAACCAGTGGGAGATTTATGCACTTTACAGTCCTCTGCTCAAAACGGGGAGCAATCATGTAATAGTCTTATAGGTTTTAACAATAAACTGTGTTGTTAAAATGGTTGTTAATCTTTGGTAGAAGGGAGTAATATTTAGTCTTTGAGGACGAAGATTCAGAAGTAATCAAATTGTAATCTGATATTGTTTTAATTTATTCTTTACCTTACGTAGACATAAATGTGCTGAGAAGAGGTTTTTTGACCCCAATAATTCTATCATGTCTGGCAGATAAAATGATCAAACAAGACAAAATGTAAGAAGTCATCTCTGTGATGATGTTCCCTTGGAACTGTTTAAGATCTCATATTCACTGACCTTTCGTGATTTAAAAGGTGAATTGGTTTATCAAAAAAATAATTACTCGGGGGTCTGCAACCTTTGTTCTGAAAAGAGCCATTTTACGCCCCCTTTTCTGGAGCCGCAACATATTATCCAACAATAACTCCAAACCTAATCCATTTAAACTATGTAATAAAATATCTAAAACATTCCTGGCTCTACAAAAGTTTGTTTTTATATTACCATGGCGGCACAGTGGCTGAGTGGATGGCACTCTTGCCTCTCAGCAAGAAGGTCCTGGGTTCGAATCCCGGTCGGACCAGGGCCTTTCTGAGTGGAGGCCCTGGTCCGACCGGAAAATATATACTCAAACAATGCAAAAACAAATGAACCAACACGAATGCTAATATCAGCTGCTGGCAACAATGTGCCTTGCATAGGAGTGATAGAAATTGCATTTTAGAACAGCCCAAGAGATTTATGAATGCAGTAAATAAATACGGACAAGACGCAAGTAGATGTTGGGACAAGTGCTTCAGGCTGCAGTTTTCAAATGATCACCACAAATCAAAGAAACATAAATTTGTAATGAACATTAAGGTAGAAGAATGCAGGAGAAGTCTTGGTTTGAGGGCGATGTTTAATGAACAACAGAAGGTGCACTTAAGTTTACAGCATCATCCATAAAAAGTAGAAACGTCTTGTTCTTGAACGTATATAGCTTACGTCAATAATCCCCTCATTTTTTACTAGTCAAATCTTACATAGGCTCGTGATAATCTTTGAAAAAATTACAGTATGAAATGAAACGAGAGGAAGTCACTTTGTTATGAAGGCAATATTTGCAGCAGAATAGCCTATTCATGGGCAACATTTGGAGGGCTTTTCCCCCATTCAAACGATTTCATTAGTTTGGAATTGCTCATCCCTATGGAAACGGTCCTAATTACTCATTGTTCTGAAACCCATGGATAGTCCATTGTAAATCAGGCAGCTTCTATATGTACTGGTTAAAGTTACTGGTATACACATGCAGATATGTTTGCATTAACCCATCCACAAATAGCTTAAGCCAAATGCACAGGAGTAATGGCACAAAAAAGCGCTAAAGCATAAACATTTTTCTTACAGTCTCCTGTGGAAGATCCATTAATGCGGAGGTAGAGCAGCTTGCAGATGGTAAAATAACGGAGGCAGCATCCATTGGTTGATGAGTCCTTAGAGGCAAAGGTAGTAGAGCCAGTAGAGGACATTCACAAAGAAGAAGGCCGTGGGGAAAACAGTGCGTGCTTGACGGTCAATATTGTGAGGATTTTCTACTACAAACATTTTAGCTGCCCGTCGAGAAGCGTCCTTTATGGAGGCCAGCCCGCAGCCCTGGGTCTTGGTCGTCTCCTTGGCCTCTCCGTTCATGACCACGTCTTGGGTGGGCGACTGCTCCGTGGGCTCGTCCTGCACAGTGGAGCCCACCTCCGCCTGCTGCTTAGGCTGAGTGGAGCACATGATGGGAAAGGAGCTGTGCCCTTTGGACTCGTTCAACTCCCGCAGAAGCTCCTGCCGAAACAGGGAAATAGACAATAATAACCTGGAATTTTCATCTTCTCCTGGGATGCAACATAATGTAAACAAAAAAGAAGAGGCGCTCAAACACAAACTTGCAAATCACTTGTAAATAGATCAATCCCAAGTTGTCTTATCGGTCGCTCATCACCAATGTCTTGTACTGTGAATGTTTTATGAATCTATCTTGAGCTAAAAAAATAAATAAAAACTCAAACAACACCACCCAGGCACACAAACACAATCTTGGAAACCCCTTGAATAGACCAATCCCTAAATGTCCCTAATCTGTCTCGTGTCTGTTACATCACCTCCACAACTTAATTTAAAATGTGCAAAATGTACATCACACCATTGAGAGATTTCGACTGGAATCTTCTCTAGTATGACATTATTAAAAGTCATTAAGAAATCACGTACATTTGACACTAAAGTACATTTTATATATGCATTACAAGGTATCACTTTACTATAGAATATTCTAGATAAAGTAACACCTCCTTGGAGCAGGTGATGCAGGTTTTATAAAAAAAGAATTAAAGTCATGTCTACAGTTATTTTGTTTGGGCGTTTAATGTTTAAGATGTTAAATTCTGGGACAGACTAGTCGCAAGAAGCTTCAGATTGAGGTAAGAAAATAAGTCTTGCTTTTCCACCTGATTAGAAATTGAAATAAGTAAATACATTTATTTTTTTAAGAATGGTCAGAATCAAACAAAACTAGTCATCTTGAAATTAATAACAGAATCCATTAACTTTCAAATCTTTAAATCTAGAAATATTCTGTTTGGTGTAGACATCACCCACAAAGCACTGCTACACTGACCTTTTTCCATTTGTCCATTGCGTATTCGGAACCATAGCAATGCCACATTCCTGCTCTTACCCTGTATATTTCCTCTATTGTCTGGTGCTGCATGGTGTAGAAGTGAGCGCAGGCGTACTCCAGCAGAGCTCCGAAGATGAAGGTGAAGCAGATTCCCAGGTAAACGTCGATGGCTTTGATGAAGCAGTTGGCGTTGGGCAGAGAGGTGCGGGCGCCCATCATCAGAGTGGTCATGGTCAGCACTGTGGTCACTCCTGCAGCACAGACAACATCCCATTAACATACATTATAGAAAACATTGTGGAGGGAAATGTTTTAAGGGTCTCTACCTCACTATTGCGGGGGAAATAGTCTTAAAGCTGTGGTTGTTTTAAAATGATCTAACTATCATTTCATCATAGTTCTCACATGCCTGTAATTTTGGCTTGTGTCCAAGGTTTAGATCAACTTTTTGAGTAAGAAAACCACCCTCAATCAGCCAATCAGCTCTCTCAGTGGCACTTTATCAACTGCACAGTTAACATCTCAAATAAAGAACAACATTTACTAAAATCAGAAGCTGCAAACTTTTCCAAATCCAGCCTTTTTTAAGTCAATATTAAGCCCTGTTTCCACCAGCTCTACTCTAGTATACTCTGTACTACTCTACTCAGCTCTGCTCTACCAGCTCTACTCTACTCGGTACTACTCTGCTCTGCTCTGCTCTGCTCTACTCTATTCAGCTCTACTCTACTCTATTCAGCTTGACTCTATTTGGTACTACTCTGCTCTACCATCTCTACTCTATTAGTAAGTAAGTAAGTAATCTTTATTTATATACCGCCTTTTCACTGCACATCGGAGTCTCAAAGCGGTTTACAATTGTTATTTTTTGGGAGTGGGGGTCGCCAGTACAGGAAGCACATGCCAGAACTATTTATAGTACATATTTTTAGTGGTAGGGGAAACCGGAGCACCCGGAGGAAACCTACGCAGACACAGGGAGAACATGCAAACTCCACTCAGAAAGGCCCTGGTCCAACCGGGATTTGAACCCAGGACCTTCTTGCTGAGAGGCGAGAGTGCTATCCACTCAGCCACCGTGCCGCCCAATTATTATCATATTATTATTATTATACTCTGTATCTGCTCTACTCAGCTCTGCTCTACCAGCTCTACTCTGTACTACTCGGCTCTGCCCTACTCTACTCGGCTCTGCTCTACTTGATTGCGCTTCCATACACAACATGGCCCAAAGCTTCAAATAGTGACTGATATGGGTCCTAGGGGTCTTTCTTACAAGTACGCAACAGAATGAGATAAAGACAGCATGCTATGACCTGATTTGTTCCCAAAATGTTGTTTTCACAGGACTCTTTCTATTACAAGAAACAAAATGTGTTGGTTGTGAAACGGGAAAGTTAGGCATCCCAGCTTAAAGTAATTTCTAGAGAAATTAAATTGTTTAAATCACTGGAAAGACACCATTTCAGGTCTATATGTGAAGACCACGTGGTAAAACCTAATTGACCTCGCTAACCTGGGTGGCAGCCATTATAAGAAAAGTCTTAATTAGTTTTATAGATTGTGTTGGAAACTGAAGATTGTTGAAAGGTAGGTGCATTAATCACTCGACTAAAATACAAAAAAAAGCAGAGAACACTAAGAACACTGGAATGGGAGTAGATTAATTTAAAGTTGAAGAGAGACTATTGCTGCACACTAACAGTCAAACCGTTTTAGAGTTTCATTTCCATTACTGCAGAGTATAAAGTCCTCCATAATAATTAATCACGCATCTTAAACATACCCCTATTTAACTTGCTCTTTCCAAGCCCGGTGAAAAGGCCACTGCCATAAATCTTAGCATGGGCCAAAATGTTAATGTCTGAATGCTAATAGTAAAATATGACATTCTAGAACTAGTATCAAAGTTAGGGTACAGACCGATGCATGTCCGAGCAGGGACAGAGGACTGGCTGATCCAAAAGGACACCCAGGACAGCACCACCAGCAGAATGGAGGGAACATACGTCTCCAAGATAAAGAACAACACGTTTCTGCGCAGGGCAAAATGTAGCACTAGCTTTGGGTAATGTCCTGCCAAAACAAAGAACGAGAAAAATGCATTCACTTTGTAACTACTGTTCCAGAAATATCTTTAGGCCTCGTAATGTTGTACAAGTACTTTATCAACTGGAAAAAAAAAATTGCAGTGGTTTGTATACTGGAATATCATTCACATACTTGTTCTGTGTATGCAATTATGTGCAGCATCCTGGAAACTATCAATGGGCTTCAGAATGATTAAAACAAGAGAACCGTTTCTATGGCAAATTGACCAGGGAAAAATTGTCCATTTGGTTGTCAGACCAGCAAATTCATTTAAGATAGATAATGTAAGGCATTTTAAATCAATAAATGGATTAGGTCATCTTAAAACAGAGATACAGAACATGTTGAGTGTGAGTTGATGATCGGGAGTGTGCTGAAGATTTTGGGAATGTTCCAGAATTGTCTTTCAGTCGGAGGGCAGATGCCAATACAACTCTACGGGATAAAAGCACATTTTGAAGGAAATTCTGAAACAAATAAAATGTTCAAACCCTGACCAGAATTTGATAGAGATAAGATTAATAAAAGTGTCGGAATATTTTTTCGGCCTTTTTACTGGCCAACATTATGCATGTGGTTTTGGATATTGTCAGTCTTTGATTTATGATTAAATAATTAGACCATAGTTGACATATACTGACAAAGAAGATGTAGAACTGTTTCTGTTCCATGTGTAGTGGCGAAGAATTTATAGATATATTAGTTGCGTTGCTAGAAATGTGACTTTTGAAGGTAAATATAGTTATAAAGACAGATCTCCCAAGTTCCTTCCACATCATTTTAAACTGCAGGCCGCTTTGAATATTGTGATTTGTCATGAACGTGTTGTGGAATTATCTATTAGTTCTATTACAATCAGATAAAATATTATTCATGTTGTATTTTCACAAATGTAAGATTATTCAGCCTCGAGTAACATGTTGTATAACTAACCCTTTGCTGCATGTACATATACAGTATAACAATATCCTAGCTACAGCATCACACCTACAGTACACCGAAAAACATAAGCTGTTAGTTTCTTTACGACCCACACCAGCCTCTGCAGCGTCAGCCTTTTTGGATGCATAGTGTTAGTATACATTACCTGTCTCATACACAGCCTCTGCTACTGTGGTGTAATAGCTCTCCACGCTGTACTGAGCCAGCCGCAGTGTGTCCAGACCTCGCACTGAATCGTTCCCGCGTGTCCAGTAAAACACCACATCCTGCAAGTTGTAGCCCCCTGTCCATAGATACAATATCAACCTATGCATACATTAGTGCTTCAGCCATTTACATACAGAAATCACAATACTCACAGTGTGGCATGTGGATGAAGATGGAGACATGGGATGAAACTGAACTGATTTAAGTCCATGGAAGTTTTTTCAATGGTGGGTGAATAATAGATGCAGGCTTCATAGATGCTACTCACAGCTCTCTAGTTGCAGCGTGCACTCTTGTCGGTCCATGGGGTACTTGGTGAGATCCATGTTGCAGGCTATGGTAGCTGTGATCCTGTTGTGCACGTACATGAATATCGATGAGTCCTTTGATATATTGATACGTATTGATCAATAATGTTTGAAAGCAAAGCACATATTTTCGCCAAACCCCATGTGCATTTCTGAGCTGGAACTTTGAATTTTCTATTGGTGGGAAGACGTATGTTAAAGTCAATCGAATCAGTATGTACAGTATGTCTATATGGATCAGTATGTACAGTATATGACAGTCTCTGGAGTTTAAGTCAAGAAAGTCTTTGTACAAAACTTTTTCATTGCATGCTATGATCTTTAGATCTTGGAAGCGACACTATGCAGATAATCCAGGTTCCTCTACAGAGAGCATGTGTGTTTGATGGAAAGTGCCTTTGACAAGTCTCTCAAAGTCTCTAATCCCTTCCCTTAAGATATTTTCTAAGATTCTTTTGTGTTTTACCATACGATACTTTTGGAACCAAAATACATTTGAATACTAAATACATTTAAATCACGGCATGTATGTTTGATTATCTTTTTCTAAGGGCCTCATTTATCAATCCAGCTATTAAACTGGCTATGTACATATAAACATATAATTTACAGATTCAGCTGCATTAACTGCAAAGAAAAGAGTTCCATAAATCTCCATAATAATACATGAAATATATATGAAATAAACCAAATTCATCCAAACTGAATTACAGATGGGATGCCTAACTTTTAAACCACACAAAACTGAACTATTTAATAATATCCATTCAAGTTCTTGGCTCTTAAACAGTTTGGTTCTATTGCTAGTTTTCACATGCATGTATTGCTGACCTCTGTCACATCTGCAGTTTCCCCTCTCACTCAGCCAATCAGCTCACAGAGTCAAATCGTGAGTCACAAAGTCTTTCTTACACATATTCAAATGTTGAATAATTTGACTCTTTCTGTTGGGACAAACCAAATGCATTATTAATGAAAAAAAAAAGCATGTGTCCTTGTAATCCACTTTTCTGGTAGGGAGTTTGGGTGCGACCACAAACTTTGCTTGACTTGGGGCTCATTTCTCTGACTTTGTAGAACTATTGAAGCAAAAAATAAGTGCACGCTGTCTGCTAGTCGCCTCTGTCAGTTCACTTTTCTCTGAAACAGTTTAGTGACCTAATGAGGACTGTTAAAGGGAACCGAGTCCAGTTCAACAGATGCGTGTGAATGCGCCCTATGTTGTCTGTCTCTATGGAGATGCTATTGCCTCGTCTGGAGCCTTCCGCGGCTGGCATTAAATATTTAACTTGAGGAGCAGGATCAGGTCTGCGAAGAAGGCAAGTTTGAAAACATGCTGCGATACATTACAAGTAGATACAGTACATGACATCCCTCAAAAGTTAACATAGAAGTTACCTGTGAACTAATAGTTTCTTAATTATCCACCTTACATCAGGGGTGTACAAACCTTTTTGTAAGAGGGCCACTCTAGTTCAATTATCCGAGGGCCGACAACACGGACTGACTGGATTTGGGCTGTTGAGCTTTAAAATGAGGTATGGCATGTTTTATTGTATTTAGTATTGGTTCACATTTGACGGAGCTGAAGTTGGCTGAAAGACATTTGTTTTTTTCACTTGACACATTTGCGTGTTACTATCAAAAACAAATGTCAGAGTAGTCAAACAAAGTCAACAACTGGATTACAGAGATCCTGAGCTGCACAACAAGGTTTAACATGTGTATATTGGCAGAGCTGAAGTTGGCTGGATGAGCTTGTGTTTATAAATAATTAAATAATGATAATAATGCATTGGTTTTACATAGCGTTTGGACACTTCATATGTCATTTTTCTTTCACTCCATACATCTCAAAGACTACAGTGTGTTGGTAAGGCAGAGGGCCACGTAAAATGACACAGTGGACCGCAATTGGCTCGCGAACCTAAGTTTGGTTCCTGCCTCTCCTACATGTTGTCTTGCATGCTTAAGCTTTTCCTCTTGTCTCCGTTATTGATTTTGCTTAATACCAAGAGGAGCGCTTGAACAGATTTATGACGTGTGAAACCAAACTGACCAACAGCAGCGTGGTCCTACTGCTAAACACTACATTGATTTCATTTGAATTCCTCATCAGCCCCCCATTAAGGTCAAGACATTTTCATGGACACCGCATTCTAAAGAGACCTTAAAAGCATGCGGTGTGTCCTTGAGAGGTATATGTAGCGAGTTCTTCTTGCGAGAAATGTCAAGGCTGTATCCAAATTTGCATAACATGAAATGCGTGGGATTAGCGTTTGCTTTGATTTGCTTTGCCTCCATTATAAACTTATTACCGTAACGCGTAGAGAACCGTGCCGTTGCTGAAGATGCGTATGAGGCGGTTTTCCACGGTCACGTCGTGGAGGAAGGAGCGCTTGGAATCTGGAATAAACGTATCTGGAATCCACAGCAACGAAACCAACCGGCCGTCCACGCTCACGCTCTCATTCCCTGGGAACACCAACCGAGAATCGCGCCATCTCTGCCGCAGAAATATTGTAGCTGTGTAATCCTAGAGAAAATATGGGGGGATAAAAAAAAAAAAAAACTTTTACTTGCCTTTATAAACACACAGTCCAACCAAAACGTATAGAGAAGGAGTTTCTACCATATTGATTTCAGAGATGGCATCGATACTGGCGATATCCAAGCTCATTCCAATCTCCACAGGCCCCGCTGGGAATTGAAAAAAAAACAGTACATTTTTTTTCCTGTCACACACATGGGACACTGATTGCTTCCACTGTGAAAAATAGCTCCACGGCACAGGCAGGTTTTGTTTGATTAAAAAGTGTTGCGCGATGACAGCTCAAAACCCATAATGGGATAAGTTCTACTAAAAGAAGAATGAGTCAAAAGCCCCTACCATTGAAATTGGGCCTGAGGTAGCGGTTGTATCCTTTCATCAGCTTCTGTATCGTTGGCTGGAGTTGGGAGTCATTCCACTCGCCCCAGTGATTGGACTGAAACGTGCAGCCACTGGAAAGGAAAAAGAAAGATGAAAGAATAAAGACAAACGGCTATGACTGAAGGCAATTAGAATGGTGATAAAAGAGTAGGAAAAATACACTGATGAAGTAATGTAATTTCCTGAAAAGTGGTGAGAACAACAGAACAGATCCGTTAAAAAGGTTGCATGGGTTTTACGCTTTACTCACCCTTGCGTGTAGGTCATGTATAGGATCAGCGGGATGTGAAGCAGGAAGGACATGGTGATGAGCCTGGGTGAATTCCAAAAGGGGAAGAGGACATTAGCAGCAAGACATTATGGCAGAGGTCCGTGGACATTCTGTGAAATATAATGTATTCAACATGTAGAAGTGACTTTTAAAGAGAGAGGCAACTTCAAAAGAAATATAATTCAAATAAATGACTGCATAATACATAATACAAAGTTATATAATTAGTAAATTATAAAAGCAGCAATAATTTAGTTAGTAGAATATTGCCTTGTAAACAATAATGCTAACTCGAAAGTTTATACGAGGTCTGTAACTACTGATTACTGACGATGGATCCTTTATCGTCACGAGGGAAACCTGCCAGGGAGAGTGGTCTGAGTCCAGACAACCAGAGTTGGAGGATTTTACCAAAAGTGAACATTTAGGGTGGAACAACTGGAGCACCAGGAGGAAACTCACCCAGACGGGGGAAAACATGTAAAGTTTGCAAAAAAAGCTTGAACCCATGACCTTACTGTAAAAGGCTTGTCCCCATGACCTTCTTACTGTAAAGGGCTTGAACTCATGACCTTCTTACTGTAAGAAGGTCATTTTGGCTGAATGAACCAAGCTCACTCAGCCAACTAGGAATTATACTTACTAAACTCAATGTATCAATTAGTATGCAGGTATGAGATGTTATGTTAATTTAATCAAGAAAGCAGAATTGAAGCCATCTTTTTTTTTCATCATAAAAAACTGATAATCAAACCAAATGTGTTGGAGACTGTATAGAATAGTTAACAATACATTTATTACTAAAACATTTGTTGATTTTCCAAAAACCTTATAAATTAATCATCACAGCCCAAGTAAGTTTAGACATGTTCTATCATGTTCTGAAAAGCAGAAGTTTCAAAGTTTCTGCCTATCTATAGACAGAGAAGAGGAAGATTTTTCTATGACTTCAAAAATTAAAAACAACAATATAAAACAACATAGTGAAATGAATACTGTTAATAATTCTGGCCAAGGGAACATGCCATAGTTTGGAATTGCAAAAACACAAGGAGGCAATGTGTGCTGGTCTCAGAGTTTTACTAGGTTTATATTTTGTTATATTTTACATCATTAAGCAAAACAAGTCAAGGAAAGGACTAATTCCAATGTTGCCGCCTGTGGATCTGGCTGGGAAGGCAAATACTTGCGTCTGAAAGCTACTAAATTACAGTCAAATGTCCAATTAACACACACAATCATCATTAGTTTGTAATTAGTATTCAAACCTTGTGTCCTAATATGATGATATTTGCACTGGATCTGCTTCAGTGCCTTTGGCCTTGGAGGTAACACAGTAATGAGGTCAAAAACATCATGAAGACCATATGAATGTGTTTGGCTGTGGTGAGTGATTTCTTTCCATCACATGGGGGCAGCATCTCCCCAACCTGAGTCTAAGATCTGGGGAAATGCATGTGCAATTTATAATCTTAGTCTACCTTTTTTAATAATTTGATACAACTACACACACAGAATAAATCAAATATGGCTAACAATCAATAAGTAAACTTAATTGGTCAGGGGATGCACAAACACATATGGGCATAGTGGAAACGGGGCTAAAGACTACACTCTCAACAGTATGAATGAAAACACAAACAAACACATAGAACAGTGAAATAATGTGTAATTTTGGTAAGTATATTTAGCAAAAATTGTAAATACTTCCATGCGTTTCTCTACTCAAACCCAATCTTTCCTGTTTCTATGTCAGTCCTGTTTACCAATAACACACCCGAGTAAGAATGCTAAACCTGTAGGTGGCCGCAGTCTCATCATTTATTCACTACACATCTCCCCTCCGATCCCTGCACTGATCATAACTCAAGCTGTCTTTTAACTCATCAAAGATTCCCAATAGTCAGGCTATTAGCGCCATATAATTCCTTCTCAATCACTGCACATACAAATCTCTAACTTACCATCTCCGCAACCTCGTACCTTCCATCAAAGCAGCATAAATCAGCGGATACATATTCCCAAAGCAATCTTTACTCCAGAAAACCACATTAGTGCTGGGTCTGTGCACATCCAAGTAACCATATACTCACACTCGCTCCAAAGACTTTCAATTAGAATTATAATGTATTATTTACACATTATGTCATTGCATATTGTGGCATATGTGAGCACAAGTAATGTTTGTCCCGCTAATGGACACAACTCAATCCCAGCCAATTGAGACCAGCAAAGTAATGAATGCATGTATGAAATTATCCCAAGTATTGTAGTTGTACGCTGTTTACGAGACGGCTTTGGCTTGAGGCGGTTTTCTTCAATATGCTCATCCATACTTTGATGTCTCCAGTAATTACCATAGCTGTCAACATCATAATTTGGCATGGCTATTACTGAATACTGTCCATTGGCTGTGACAAATGACAGGTCTAATGTACGGCATGAAATATTCACGCAAACAAAATATGTCTCAACGGAAAGAGCTTATTTCCCCAATACATTTCGGTTTCAGTCTCGGTTTTTGGCAGAGGTACATGCATTCTTACTACGTTTGTTGCACAGTTTTCCTTGCCAAATGTGTTCATAGTCTGACTTTTTAAACAGACTTTTTACACAACATGCAAAATCGTCCATACATTTTCCGTATTAAAAAAGCAAATAAACTACTGCAAGTTGGGTAATACTGATGAGTTCTTACCTGTTTCAAGGTTTGGGTTGTCCCTACTTGGACTGGTCACTCCTTTCTCCTTTGTTAGTAGTTCCCAGGTTGGCAGCTGCAGATGTTTCCAGTATTTTTCCACCTTTTCGCTCTTCACTACCGGCTTAATATGAAATCAAGGTTTTTTTTTTATCATCCATCTGTGCTTAAATACCGCTGCTGGTTTTCCTTAAGTTGATTGTTCCTAGTGCGCCTGGATCGCACTTCTCCAAGCACAGCTGTATTGCGCTCCGCGGCTGATGCCTGTTGTGCCCCCCCCCATCCTCCTCCATCTCTCTCTCTCTCTCTCCTCTGCACTCCATCCCTTGTTGTTTATGTCTCTCACCCATGCTGCATTCTCATCCTTTTCTCCCATCCCTCCACTAACTCTGTTGAGGCACTTTAGCGCTCCCCCGCCCCCCTTTCCTCCCACGGTCTGCTTTTTGGTCGCCTTAATCTCTATCTATCTACCTCCCTTTGCTTGGATATTTACAATGACATCACACCTCCTAAAGCTCTCCGTATCTCCTCGCCTTTTGCCCACTCCTGCCCAAAGTTCAGTTGGATTGCATTAGTATCATCCTTTGAACGGAGCCCCTTGTGGAAACGAACTTCAGAATGATCACAAAAAACAGACTGAATCAGCATTTTCTTAATAGCTTTCTCACATATTTTGAGACATATTCTTGCATAGAGGCAGGGAGGCAATTTCAAGGGCACAAAGGCAGAAAGCTGTTTCGCTAGGGGTGTGCAATCTTGGGGCAAATATATATTCAATTTTTTTTCTTTATATTGTCCGACCACGATTAATTTTTTATTCATTTTTTTATTCTTAAAAATAAAACAAAAAATGGTGGTATACTATGTTATTTATGATAAAACCTAATATGCTTTGCATCATAATTAAAGCAATGACGGGGAAAGGCGAGGACACGACCCACATGAGTGAGTCATGGTAAAAGCACATGCTGACGGTCTCCTTGACTCATTTTTTTCCTAAACAGTGACTGCAGCTCGTCTTCAGCCTCTTGCACTCTTTTAATAATGGTGTCTGACTATTTCAATGCTTGTCTCAATATTTGCGATCTACAACATTAGAGATTTAGGTATATGCATATTTTTTAGAACAGCCCTTTAAGTGTTACATTTGCACTAATGGATTGTACTTCTAGTGTAGTGCAGTGCATATTCATTCACTCTGTACACTGTGATGGTAAACTAAGGCTGTAGCCTCAACTGCCATGGGGTAGACAGAAGCGAGACTACTAATCTGACCCATACAGTATGCCCCTCAGACCGCCATCATTCACTCACACCCCAGACTCATACTAGGCAATGTGGGTTAAGTGGCTTGCCTAAAGACACAACCACAGTTTTGCACTGCACAGCCGCAGCCGCCCCAATGTGGCACCAGGTGTTCCCAAAGGTCTGGTGCCACAAGACGTTGTAGAAATTGAACAAATAACAAACAATATACTTGTGCATATTAATAGGGAAGTAAAAACATATCAAGGAGGAGCTCAGGGACTAGCCTCCTAAAGGGACTATCAGGAGCACAGGGACTGGCCTCCTGCTGAGACTCTGAGGAACACAATGACTGGCCTTCTGTTGGGTCTCTGAGAACAGGGACTGGCCTCAACTGGTGTCCAGAGTGCGAACTAAACAACAAAGTTTCAGATTTATGCAGCTAAAATAAGTATCAGTCTTCCTGGAAATGTGAGACAAGATACTACTCTGTAATAATCCAGGTTGGGCATACAACTGAAGGGTTTTTCTATTTAAAAAAATTGTCCGAATGAACATTCCTTACTTCAATCTAAATGAGTTAATATGTTTTCCGCAAGGTGGCCTATTCTTCTATTCTCTTTGTCTAAACCATAGAGTGTAAATAATAACAGACGTAGTCACGCCTATCTCCGCTGTTGAAACTAATTTGCCACCACTTTCGCCTTCTGTGGCAGTTTCAAAATGGCTGCGGGGCAGGAAAATGTTGAAAAAAAACACATTTGCGCATGCGTCAGCCGGCACGAGCCCCATTCATTTGACAAGAGCTACTGCTACTGACTGCTACTGCTACTACTACTGCCACTACTACTACTACTACTACTACTACTACTACTACTACTACCACTACTACTGATACTACGACGCTGCTGCGGGAGGTTGGTTGCCGCTGTCTTTGCCTTCAGCACCACAAGACAATCATTGAATCCATACATACTCTCCCTGGTTCACCCCCACCCATGTTGTTTTTAATGCACCTCACCCCCCCACATAATAAAAAAAAAATAATAAAAAAATAAATATATATATAAACAAACACTTGAATAGACT